ATTAAATGATATTGCATCATATATATTTATACCCGTTACTCGTAGAGTAAAAGGGTCTACTAGATTCGTCGGAAAGTATGTAACAGGCAGAAGGAAGCGTTTCCGACCCCACAAAGTATATATATTCTTGATCAGGATCACTAGCCGAGTCGATCTAGCCATGTCCGTCTGTCCGTCTGTCCGTCTGTCTGTCCGTCCGGATGAACGCTGAGATCTCGGAAACTATTTGGCGTGCAGATTCCTGAGCTTCTTACGCAGCGCAAGTTTGTTTCGGCACAGTGCCACGCCCACTCTAACGCCCACAAACCGCCCAAAACTGTGGCTCCTAAAGTTTTGATGCTAGAATAAAAATTTTAACTGAAATGTATTGTTCTCATCAATACCTATCGATTGACCCAAAAAAAAGTTTGCCTCGCCCACTTTAACGCCCACTTTAACGCCCACAAACCGCGAAATCCTGTGACGCCCACAATTTTTATGCTAGATAATTTTAACTGAAATGTATTGGTCTCGTCGATACCTATCGATTGATCCAAAAAAAAATTTGCCACGCCCACTCTAACGCCCATAACGCTTAAATCTGTATACCGCCGGTAGGTGGCGCATTTTAATCTCGCTTTGCTGCTTGCATATCTCCATATAGCTGAGTAACGGGTATCTGATAGTCGAGGTACTCGACTATAGCGTTCTTCCTTGTTTTAAGATTAAATATTAAGATAGGGTCGTCCTCGTGAAGATCAATTTGCTGTTGAAACTTCGCATTCAAACAATATTCATAATATATCTTACAATTTCTAGATTTATTAATAGAGTTTCCCAATTATTAATATTAAATGATATTGCATCATATCTATTTTTAAGATTAAATACTAAGAATAAAAATTCTGTTCCACTCCTCCTACTTAATGATGACCATTATAAAATTATAATTATCAACAACTATTATATTAAATACAATTAAATGTACGCATACTCATATAACAACAGTTCCCAATATCGATATATGATCTTACTTTGTCTTTGATTTCCGGTTTCTTATGTATTCTTCTTCTCACTTTGACACAGTGTAGAATGGTTTTACTTAAGCCAATCGCATGGGATGGTGGTTTGATTCTTGGGGAGGGGGTTTGATCCTTGAATATAAAGTACCTGCTCGACTCTAGGTTCTGTCTTTTCCTGGTTGATGAGATTACAAAACCTAAATATATATTTTTGCATTGACATTGTACAAATTGTTTACAATTGATTTGGTTACAAATATTTAAATAATAGTTTGCATTTTTAGTTCCGGATCCGGCAGATCAAGAATTATACTAAGCTAATAAACACTATTTCATTCCGTTTTTGTTGTATTTTGGTCTATGTACACGTAACATTTTAAGTTTCGCCCTTGAGCTGCTTAAGCAATCGATTTTAAAAGTTCACAAATTTAAAAGAAATTTTACAAAAGTATCAACTTGTCTAGAAATTAGAAAAACACTTTCGAAATAACACTTAAAATCTACAATGAATCGCCCTGAAACCGTTGATGGTCCGCTCAAGCTTCTTATTCTTCTCTAGGTAGCTGGAGGCTACTAGCGATGCTAGTGGTTCCTCAGTGCCTCGTTAATGACACGCAGAATTTCAATTTGCAGTTCGGTGAAAGCCACCGGCTCCAGCTGAGCATTTCGTATCTTCATGGCCACTGTCTTGAAAAACGCACCAATTTCATCATCCTCTCCATCGTCGTGATCATAAGTCATTACATGCTGCTCTTGCTGCTGAGGAGTTTGTTCCGCCGCCGTTGTGGTTTCCATCTCCTCGTCCTCGTCATCTTCCTCCTCATCATCATGATGTGCATCCCCATTGATGTAGTTCTCCAGCGTCTCCAGCGTCTTTTGTTTCATGTACTTTTGCAGAAAACTGAGCGAGTCATAGTGCTTCCAACGCGAAGTGGCCTCTATGTGCATCAGTGTCCTTAGTCGCTTGTGCTCTCGTGCATATTGGTCCCTTAGAGCCTTCCACTTCAGCCGACACTGTTTAACCGACTTCTTCAGCTTTCTGGCGATTTCCTCCCAAACCTCCATCTTGAGCTTGGCATTGCGATAGTTCACGTTGCCGTAGTTGTAGATCATGTCCTCCTGCTGGATTAGCGTAATCAGTCCTTTTTCAAAGTAACTCTCCATGTTAAGAAAGGTATGTATGGGATCGTCGTCCTCTACCTCAGCATTAGTCGATTGATTGTGCGCTGCTGAAGTGCCGGATACCGTCGAGGTTACCGTTGCTGTCGAGTTTGACTGATTGGCAGCAGTATAAAATTTGAATCGAAAGACAAAAGATGACTGAAATCAACAAGCAAATGAACCACTGTGACTTTAAAATAAATGAAGATTTGTTGGTTGAGATAGGAATCTTCAAGGAAATTTTAAAGGTTTCCAAAGAGTCGCGACGGAAATTCGGTAGTATCTATTATGATACTATAGAAGAGTTGGACACCCTGAAATGGCGCTTGGTGGATTTGCAGAGCGAAAACAATATCGATTCCCATCTCTTTGATATTGAAAACGTGGAAAATCGAATCACCGAGCTGATGATGGAGACAACCAAGTTGCAACAGCAAAATGATCTTCACGATGCGGAAATCGAAAATAATCCGCTGTCACGACTGCTACTGGAAGTTAAGGAGATGATTTTTCGTATAAGGGATTCTATATCAGACTTAGAATGTCTTAAATTTGATGGTGAGGCAGACCAATGTGAGTTGGTCAGCGCTATGTCTCGCGAGGACGACCCTATCTTAATATTTAATCTTAATAATAGATATGATGCAATATCATTTAATATTAATAAAACTCTATTGATAAATTTAAAAAATTGTAAGATATATTATGAATATTATTTAAATGTGATTAATGAATAATTTTCTGCAATAAATAATTTTGAAAATATACAAATAAGAATTATGTATTATTCATGGGATACTATCACAAAAACATTATTATCTCTGTTGGCTTAATAATTTTTAATAATTTAATTCTAAGAATAAAATGAACTCCAAAACCAGTTTTTGAAATTATTTAATATTGATTAGAAGAAAAGAGATAGAAATATATTATGCATTACAGATACCTTAAGAGTCAGATTTATGATGTTGTAAACCAGTGTCTGAATGGTATGGAGTTGGCAGCCATTTGTTAAAAATTGGTATTCACCAGCGGGAATATGTGAAATCAATAAATTTGAAAATTAAACTGCAAATACTAAACTCTTCTCCAGGGATTGTAGATGGTAAATTGAATTGTAGGTAAATCTAGTCTTTTTAGAGTCTGATATCTTTTACTATATTCTGCTAGTTACATGTTATGAGTTAATATCTGGGATTTCGGGTGCCTAATAATCCCATAAAATGATAAAAGTTTAACAACCTACTGTTAGGAAAAGATCAGAAATATAACGAAAATAGTGTAGAGGATGCCATTAAAGAGGGAGGTCAGAACCAGTTTAAAAATTGTGTACATTGCTTAGAAAGGAAAAAAAATCAAAAGAAATGTATAGTTTAGGTAGCTGGGGCAGCCATTGGAAAAGTCAAATCTGGTACAGTGGTGGGTGTGGCTAGGTGTTGAAGCACGCAATACAAATTTAAACCTGTTTACATGATGGATAAAAGGATATTAGTTAGAGAAGGATGTAAATATCTTAAATATGAATTACAAGTACCCATCTATGACAAACTATCATTATTAAATATGAGGAACATATATTTCACCGGCGGGGAATTAGAGGGATCCAAAAGATCAATTTTATGAGAGAAGACTAATACTGTTTTTGGTAAATTAAATAGGCACATGAAAACATATTACTCAATTAGTTAGAGAATATCAAACAACCAGATTTATCAAGCATTTAGATGGAAAAATCAAAGTATTGAATTAATATATATATTTTTTTATTATCCAAATAGAAGAAATTTTCGTGTTTGGTCAAGGGACAATATTCCATGAATTTTTCCATTACCTTGACCTTTGCGCCTGCATCAAGGTATTTTGGCAATCCTTTGTAACAACTATTTGTGTTGTTGGTAACATTTATAAATTGTTCGCAAATAAAAAATACTTTCCTAATTATATATTTTATGACCTCTTTTATGAAGGGATATTATTCCTTAAATTTTTTTCCAATACCTTGACCTTTGCGCCTGCGTCGAGGCATTTAAGCAAATCCTTTGAAACATAACTATTTGTGTTGTTGGTAACAGGTATAAATGGTTCGCAAATAAAAAATACATTCCTAATTATATTTTTATGATAATTTTTTATGACATTTGCGCCTGCGTCGAGGCATTTTAGCAATCCTTTACACCACCACCTATGTTTATTGTAGGTAACCAACTTGACTCTGGGGTTATGGTACGGTTAGCAATGGGTGGTTTGCTTAATGGTCACACCCATTTTTGGACAAAGGATACAATTGGTCATTTAGGTGTGGGTATACACAGTGACACAGTGTAGAATGGTTTTACTTAAGCCAATCGCATGGGATGGTGGTTTGATTCTTGGGGAGGGGGTTTGATCCTTGAATATAAAGTACCTGCTCGACTCTAGGTTCTGTCTTTTCCTGGTTGATGAGATTACAAAACCTAAATATATATTTTTGCATTGACATTGTACAAATTGTTTACAATTGATTTGGTTACAAATATTTAAATAATAGTTTGCATTTTTAGTTCCGGATCCGGCAGATCAAGAATTATACTAAGCTAATAAACACTATTTCATTCCGTTTTTGTTGTATTTTGGTCTATGTACACGTAACATTTTAAGTTTCGCCCTTGAGCTGCTTAAGCAATCGATTTTAAAAGTTCACAAATTTAAAAGAAATTTTACAAAAGTATCAACTTGTCTAGAAATTAGAAAAACACTTTCGAAATAACACTTAAAATCTACAATGAATCGCCCTGAAACCGTTGATGGTCCGCTCAAGCTTCTTATTCTTCTCTAGGTAGCTGGAGGCTACTAGCGATGCTAGTGGTTCCTCAGTGCCTCGTTAATGACACGCAGAATTTCAATTTGCAGTTCGGTGAAAGCCACCGGCTCCAGCTGAGCATTTCGTATCTTCATGGCCACTGTCTTGAAAAACGCACCAATTTCATCATCCTCTCCATCGTCGTGATCATAAGTCATTACATGCTGCTCTTGCTGCTGAGGAGTTTGTTCCGCCGCCGTTGTGGTTTCCATCTCCTCGTCCTCGTCATCTTCCTCCTCATCATCATGATGTGCATCCCCATTGATGTAGTTCTCCAGCGTCTCCAGCGTCTTTTGTTTCATGTACTTTTGCAGAAAACTGAGCGAGTCATAGTGCTTCCAACGCGAAGTGGCCTCTATGTGCATCAGTGTCCTTAGTCGCTTGTGCTCTCGTGCATATTGGTCCCTTAGAGCCTTCCACTTCAGCCGACACTGTTTAACCGACTTCTTCAGCTTTCTGGCGATTTCCTCCCAAACCTCCATCTTGAGCTTGGCATTGCGATAGTTCACGTTGCCGTAGTTGTAGATCATGTCCTCCTGCTGGATTAGCGTAATCAGTCCTTTTTCAAAGTAACTCTCCATGTTAAGAAAGGTATGTATGGGATCGTCGTCCTCTACCTCAGCATTAGTCGATTGATTGTGCGCTGCTGAAGTGCCGGATACCGTCGAGGTTACCGTTGCTGTCGAGTTTGACTGATTGGCAGCAGTATAAAATTTGAATCGAAAGACAAAAGATGACTGAAATCAACAAGCAAATGAACCACTGTGACTTTAAAATAAATGAAGATTTGTTGGTTGAGATAGGAATCTTCAAGGAAATTTTAAAGGTTTCCAAAGAGTCGCGACGGAAATTCGGTAGTATCTATTATGATACTATAGAAGAGTTGGACACCCTGAAATGGCGCTTGGTGGATTTGCAGAGCGAAAACAATATCGATTCCCATCTCTTTGATATTGAAAACGTGGAAAATCGAATCACCGAGCTGATGATGGAGACAACCAAGTTGCAACAGCAAAATGATCTTCACGATGCGGAAATCGAAAATAATCCGCTGTCACGACTGCTACTGGAAGTTAAGGAGATGATTTTTCGTATAAGGGATTCTATATCAGACTTAGAATGTCTTAAATTTGATGGTGAGGCAGACCAATGTGAGTTGGTCAGCGCTATGTCTCGCGAGGACGACCCTATCTTAATATTTAATCTTAATAATAGATATGATGCAATATCATTTAATATTAATAAAACTCTATTGATAAATTTAAAAAATTGTAAGATATATTATGAATATTATTTAAATGTGATTAATGAATAATTTTCTGCAATAAATAATTTTGAAAATATACAAATAAGAATTATGTATTATTCATGGGATACTATCACAAAAACATTATTATCTCTGTTGGCTTAATAATTTTTAATAATTTAATTCTAAGAATAAAATGAACTCCAAAACCAGTTTTTGAAATTATTTAATATTGATTAGAAGAAAAGAGATAGAAATATATTATGCATTACAGATACCTTAAGAGTCAGATTTATGATGTTGTAAACCAGTGTCTGAATGGTATGGAGTTGGCAGCCATTTGTTAAAAATTGGTATTCACCAGCGGGAATATGTGAAATCAATAAATTTGAAAATTAAACTGCAAATACTAAACTCTTCTCCAGGGATTGTAGATGGTAAATTGAATTGTAGGTAAATCTAGTCTTTTTAGAGTCTGATATCTTTTACTATATTCTGCTAGTTACATGTTATGAGTTAATATCTGGGATTTCGGGTGCCTAATAATCCCATAAAATGATAAAAGTTTAACAACCTACTGTTAGGAAAAGATCAGAAATATAACGAAAATAGTGTAGAGGATGCCATTAAAGAGGGAGGTCAGAACCAGTTTAAAAATTGTGTACATTGCTTAGAAAGGAAAAAAAATCAAAAGAAATGTATAGTTTAGGTAGCTGGGGCAGCCATTGGAAAAGTCAAATCTGGTACAGTGGTGGGTGTGGCTAGGTGTTGAAGCACGCAATACAAATTTAAACCTGTTTACATGATGGATAAAAGGATATTAGTTAGAGAAGGATGTAAATATCTTAAATATGAATTACAAGTACCCATCTATGACAAACTATCATTATTAAATATGAGGAACATATATTTCACCGGCGGGGAATTAGAGGGATCCAAAAGATCAATTTTATGAGAGAAGACTAATACTGTTTTTGGTAAATTAAATAGGCACATGAAAACATATTACTCAATTAGTTAGAGAATATCAAACAACCAGATTTATCAAGCATTTAGATGGAAAAATCAAAGTATTGAATTAATATATATATTTTTTTATTATCCAAATAGAAGAAATTTTCGTGTTTGGTCAAGGGACAATATTCCATGAATTTTTCCATTACCTTGACCTTTGCGCCTGCATCAAGGTATTTTGGCAATCCTTTGTAACAACTATTTGTGTTGTTGGTAACATTTATAAATTGTTCGCAAATAAAAAATACTTTCCTAATTATATATTTTATGACCTCTTTTATGAAGGGATATTATTCCTTAAATTTTTTTCCAATACCTTGACCTTTGCGCCTGCGTCGAGGCATTTAAGCAAATCCTTTGAAACATAACTATTTGTGTTGTTGGTAACAGGTATAAATGGTTCGCAAATAAAAAATACATTCCTAATTATATTTTTATGATAATTTTTTATGACATTTGCGCCTGCGTCGAGGCATTTTAGCAATCCTTTACACCACCACCTATGTTTATTGTAGGTAACCAACTTGACTCTGGGGTTATGGTACGGTTAGCAATGGGTGGTTTGCTTAATGGTCACACCCATTTTTGGACAAAGGATACAATTGGTCATTTAGGTGTGGGTATACACATTTGTTATGGTGATCGAAAATGGGATAATCACAGTGTTTTTTGTTTTTTACTGTATTACACCGGAGCGATTTCAATTACTTTCCCAATTATAGTTAGTTTTAAATCGTTTTTTGACATTCATATATTTTGTCCTTTCTAGACATTTTATTGTAGCTAATAACTATAGTTATGGGATGTAAGGCTAGCTATCGTAGTTAAGATTACATTTGTTATACCTACATAAGATGAAAGAACATGAAAAATGGAAATGTTTTATTTTAACTATATACTAGTTAAAGTGGATGATATTATTATATATTCTTAATATCTGTAATTATGAATCAAAATTGTTTATCAAAGCAGCTTCTACACAGCTTTTAGACAACTTGTGAACAATTTATTTCTTAATTAGTTTTACAATTACAGGATACATCTTCCCCCAACATAATCGGACATGTTCCTCTAAGATTTATATATCAATCTTGAGCTATTTTGGCTTTGCATTTTTACTTCACATCGAAAGTCGTCTAGTGATCAAGAATTTTTGATCATTCTTAACAAAAGACTATAAAAGCTCGTAGGCGTTAATAACAACTAGTAACCAGCTAATAATAATTAGTAAACATCAAGTAAACAGATACTAAACATATATAAACCAGATACTAAACAGCTAGTAAATAACTTTTATACATCTAGTAAACAACTTGTATACATCTACTAAACATATAGAAACCAGATACTAAAGAACTTGTATACATTTACTAAATATATAGTAACCAGATACTAAACAGCTAGTAAACAACTTGTATACATCTAGTAAACAACTTGTATACATCTATTAAACATATAGAAACCAGATACTAAACAACTTGTATATGTCAGGGGCTGAGACATTTGCTGGTCTCCTTCTTGCATATTGTTGCAGATGCGCAGTGAGTCGCGGTCAACGTCTTCTCCGTTCAGATATCAAAAGCAAAGTGAAGTCGGCTTCCTTCTGCCGGCTTCTTCTGACACACGTCAAAATGACACACGTCATCTAATTGCAAATTCCTTTCTTTTCTCTCTCTCTCATTTGCAATTCCTTTTTGGTCCTTCTCTCTCTCAGAGTCCTTGACCTTGACCATGACCGCGCCACACTCGGCTGAGACGACACTCTCTCTCGTTCTCAGTCCACGCTCTCAGCAATTGTGCAATTAAAAGGAACCACAAATAACCTAATGACTAGTTTATTTTATTCTTTATTCTTTCTCTTTCTTAATGCTATACAGTTTCGTTTACATTTTCTTTCTTCTTATACATCTCCGACACGGCCATCCTGACTTTCACACGTCCTCGTGTGCATACTGTAACACTAGGTTGGTATCATTCTTGCTTTATTTCTCTTTTCATCTTTTACATCTTTCAACATCATTCTTAGCTTAATAATTAGTCTACACACACAACTTTATAAATTGCGTCATCAAATGTCGGTTTCGCAGGCTATCTCCCTTTTTCACATCATACAGTAAGTCAAATCAAACTTGTCACACCAGTCAACCGCGCCACACGCCATGACAGAACACTTCTGGTTCCACACTTGTGCCTTCGGCTTGACCTGGTTCAACTTTCTCTCAGTAGCTCGTACTCTTCTGCGCAAACCCGACCATTTGGCTATCCTTGTTATCAAACCACAGTTACAGGCTCTTGCCGCCCCACGCGACGCTTTGCACCTTTAGTGCCACGATCTGCTCAGATCCAAACTGCATCACACAATATCATCCATACCAGGCATGACTATTGTTGATCAAATCTAGCCCCTGTGTTTGATGTCTCACGACGAGTGTCTTTTTCACCACTGTCACTTTCCTCAATAGTCTCATCAGAGATCTGCTCGTCCGGCAGCCTTCTCAAACTCTCGTGCGAATACTTGTAGGTTCGCTTGCTAGTTAACGATTTTAACAGGTATCGATCACCTTCCAACAACTCGGCAACCACAAAAGGTCCTTTGAACTTAGGATCCAATTTGGTCTGATGCCGCTCTTCACTTCTAAGCAAGACATGATCCCCAACCTTGTGTTTTACAACTTTGGCCTTATTCTTATCAACTCGATTCTTTTCATATTTCGCATTTATTTCAATATTTTCTTTGGCCTGAGCCCTCGCTTGCTTACAATCTATTTTAGTCTCTTCATTTATTGGCAATAAGCCCATTGGCCTGGCCTCTCTTCCAATCAATATTTCTAATGGGCTATACTTTGTTACCCTGTTCGTTGTGCAATTCATGGCTAACTGTACTTCACTGAGTGCATCCTGCCAGGAACGTTCACCTATCTCTACCGCTGTCAACATACTCTTCATCGTGCTCATGACTCTTTCAACCTGTCCATTGGCCCTACTTGCACCTGTTGCTATCAAATGTAACTCTATTTTATGCATTGAACAGAACTCACGAAATTTCCCACAAGAGAAACTCCTGCCTTGATCTGCTATGATACGGTTAGGTACCCCAAAAAGTGATATTGTTGATTTTACAGCCTTAATACAGTTTTCTGCATCTAAATGCAAAGTATGATATAGGTGAACAAATTTAGTAAATGCGTCTATTTGTACTATGACATATTCCTTGGTATCATTTTTACCACTCAGCTTTCCACTAATATCAATGTACACAGTATGCCAAGGTATCTCAACTTTCGGAATTGGATGCAATTCCATTTGAATTTTCCCTGATGG